TTTAAAGAAGGTGCTAAACCCACTTATGGTTGCGTTTTTATTTTCCCGGCTACTTTGACTGCGTACGCACGTTAGGCCAAGCGCCTAGCTTTTAGGTGTTGACTTAGACCTAGGCTCCATTTCCACCGCCGCTCTCTCGGGGAACTAATTTTTTTCCATGGCGAAAATCTGGCTTCTTGCTGAGGATTAATATTTTTTTGAGATTTTCAGGAGGTCGTGCCCTCCAAATACTAGCAAAACGCAGAGATGTCACTGTTTGACGCTACGGCGTCTTCCCACGCAATCTCGGTCAAGGCAAGTCGGTGGGGTATCTGAGAAAAAAAACTCCCTCGGGCCACGTGACCCGAAACGCATCAGCCGCGCGGAATAATGAAAAGGCAAGGCAACGGCAGACAGTCGTTCTGTACAGTCCTTCGCTATCATTAAAAACACTGGACACGGGAATTGTTTTACATTGGCCGTTTTCACACTAGAGCTAGAAATGGATTATCCATCTGAGACTAGCCTGTGTACAGTCACTCGTTCCCCCACAGACACTCCTTCTCCCTTCCTCCCTCTGAGGGGAGGGGGCGGCTGTACACAGGCTATCTGAAATGGATAATCCATCTTCAATTAAATTGTCCGTCAAAATTGACGGAGAAAGCCAGGCAGATTGTTCTGATTCAAAATTTAAACCATCCCATTTTCAAATTAAGACGTAATACCCATCTGACGCGAATTATCAAAGGGATAATCCGTCTCACCCGAATAATCCGCCTCTAGTGTGAAAACGGCCATTTATGTTATGAATGAATGACGCGTCCCGGCCTTGAGTTGGGCGTTTGCGTTTCTGCTTTCGCTTTTTCACAAAGATTATTTTTAAATTGACTATTAACATTTGTATGTGTAAAATAATATTAGAAGTGGAATACTATCAAATGTTAAAATTTTTCAAAAGAACGACTTATTTCATCCCGAGATGATCCTAAGACCTTTATTTTGCTTTAAAGATACAAAAAATACAGGTTTATTGATATTTAACACCTTGAAACAAAAGAAATTAATTTTTAACTTTGTTGATAACCGTAACTGGAAAAAATTAACCGATAGCCGTAAAAGAGCCAAAATTTTAGCCGATAACCGTAAAAGCTACCACCCCATTGAGACCCTCGAAATAGTGTTTGGTGTTACAGTTAACTAATTATATCTATAGCCCTTGAAAAAATTTTTTGGAATGCGATATTTTTTCTGGTACAAACGGTAAGTTTTTATCCATTGAAAATTGAAATTACTCAATTTCATGGTGGATTCCGTATTAACGTTTAACGAGTGTCTTTATTTCTGATAAAGACACGGTTAATTAAGCTCTACGTCCAAATTTTTTAGATCAAAATAACCCCAAATGATTACAGGGGCGTAGCCACCTGTACGCACGGTACGCACGTACGTACCTAAAAAAGTCGTGCACAAAAAAGATATAAAACGAATAAACAATAAAAAAGAAAAGCAAAATATCTAAAGATAATTATTTTAAGAGTACAGTTTGCCTCAATTCATTCAACTCTGGTTGTTTTTGGCGACGACAATAAGCCCCTTTTCTTTACAACCTCTACGAACACGAGGAGGACAAGGAGGAGGAGGAGGAGGACGTAATCACAATTTCTTCTCTGAGTCCGAACTTGGGTGGTCTCCAAGTCTCCGTAAGGAAGTTCATCTATATTTGCCCAGGATTTGCCATTTTAAGAGAGTTGACGGCAATAAAAGCGAAAAAGTTAAAAAATAAATTACGCGCATTCATTTTCATAGCTAGGGACGTTTTCGTTGCCCTCACCGTCGTCGTTGCTAAGGCATCCTATATTCATGAAAGTGACAGATCCATTTTGGTTTTACTGCAAACTCCTATCAACAAATACGGAAAAGTATCGGGATAAGTTGGAAAAATTGTTTACACTACAAAACATTCAAGGCATTAGATTCACTTTAGATTTCGGATTCAAAATCTATAGAGACTTGACCAAATCGGCACCTTTTCAATTTGGATTCACGCACTGCATCTGCTTAATATAAAAACGACGAAACGAACCCAGTAACAAAATAAAATAACGAATCCGGAAAAGTATGCAGCCTTATTGTATGATCGGTAGATCATTGATGTGCATCAGTCAATTCACCCAAAAACGCGACAAGTATTTTAGAAGTTGCTAATGTCATTTCATAAGCAGGAAAAACTCTTAGGCTTACAACGTTACCAAATATTTAATCAAGGAAGTTTTTTTTTTGGGGGGGGGGGGGGGGGGGGCAAAGAGAATTCCCCGTACCTCGGAAAAAATCCTGGTTCGGCCCCTGCAACAGAAAAATTTGTGTAAAAAA